CCAGTCGGTATGGTGCTGGTCGTGGACACAGTGGTAGGACACAGTGGTAGGTAATCCCGTCGTGCGTGCTTTTTCCCACCCGGTATGGTGCTTGATCGTGGACACATGGTAGGACACACGATGCTCCGTCCCGCCGGTATGATACTGATGCGCGACCTCGGGTCGCGTCGGCCATCCTGTGGCGTTGAGCCACCGTCCGGCTGAGATTGCGGGAGTGGTTGAAGCATTAATGAGACATGACGAGTTGTTGGGAGGGTCGGCCGAGACGGGGGGCGACGGACCGTGGACGAGCCGGCCTCGAGCGACACGGAGAATAAGGCCTCGCGCGATACGGAGAATGAGGCCTCGCGCGATACGGAGAGTGAGGCCTCTGCCGAGGCCTTCCCTGGATAGCCTCGGGCGAGACGGAGACGGCGTCCCCTGCCGAGGCTCGGCGCCCCCTGCCGAGGCCTACCCTGGGGAGCCTCGCGCGAGGCGGAGTTCGTTCCGAGACCTCCTGCTCGAGGCTCGAGGCGAGGTGGAGGAGGGCTCGGTCGTGGCAGGTGAGGGGCCCACGGCTTACCTTCTAGCTTTGTTTTGATGTTTGCTTGGGGTACCCCGTTCTAAGGTACCCGACAGTAGTCATGGATGAACTTGCGGTAATAGCCCACAAGGCCCAAGACCACCCTCACTGCACGCGCCGAGCGGGATTGCGGCCAGTCACAGACCGCCTGCACCTTGGCGGGGTCCATGGCGACGCCGGCTGCGGAGATGACGTGCCCCAGGTAGGTGATGGAGCGCTCGACGAAAGCGCATTTGGAGCGCTTGACGAAGAGGCGGTGCTGCTGTAGCACGGCAAAGACAGCCCGCAGGTGGCGAAGTGATCAGCCCATGATGCACTGTAGATTAAAATATCATCGAAAAACATGAGTACAAAGCGGCGAAGAAAAGGCCGCAGCACGTCGTTCATCAGGGGCCTGGAACATCGCCGGGGCGTTGCACAGCCCGAACGGCATGACCAGGAATTCGTACAGACCGTCGTGGGTGCGGAACACCATCTTGGCGATGTCGTCAGGGCGCATGCGGGCCTGATGGTAGCCCGAACGCAGGTCGAGCTTGGTGAAGAACTTGGCGCCGTGGAGCTCATCTAGAAGCTCGTCGACGACGGGTATGGGGAAGGCGTCCTTGACAGTGATGGCGTTCAGGGCACGGTAGTCGACGCAGAATCTCCATGAACAGTCGGCCTTCTTGACGAGGAGGATAGGCGAGGAGAACGCCGAGGAACTCCGTCGAATGAGTCCTTCCGCGAGCATCGCGGCGCACTGGCGTTCCAGCTCGTCCTTGTGCGTGGCCGGGTAGCGGTAGGGGCGCACCGCGATTGGCTGTGAACCGGGGACCAAAGTGATGCCGTGGTCGCGGGCGCGGGGTGGTGGCAGCCCGTGCGGTTCGTCGAAGATGTCGGCGAAAGAGGCGAGGAGCTCATCTAGCAGAGAAGGCGTCGCCGTAGTGGTGCAAATGGTGGGCGCCTCGGGCCCCTGGACGCCCTGCCAACAGATCGGGTGGCCGTTCCGGTGGAACGTCATGCGTCGGGCACCAAAATCCCAGAGGACAGGGCCCAACGTTGCCAGCCATTGAGTGCCCAAAACCATGTCGAAACCTGCAAGGGGCATGACAAATAGATCGGCGTGAAAGGTGTCGCCGTGGATGGTGATCGTGGCCCCGCGGATGATGCCCACGCAGGAGACGCGTTCGCCACTGTCGCCGTGAGCCGGGGGCGGCGTTGTAGAGGGAGGCCGGTGCGCTGCGTTGTAGACTCGGAGATGAAGTTGTGTGTAGACCCCGAATCCAGGAGCGCTAGGAACGAAGTACCCCCGAGGCTGACATGGAGCTGCATGGTGTCGGTGAACCGAACGCCCGCGATGGCGTGAAGAGAAAACACGGGCGACTCCTCGGCGGCCGCCGGTTCAGATGACTCCGGGACCTCCTCTGTGTCCTCCACCATGCTGTCCAGCAAGAACAGGCGTTTGCAGACCCTGTTATGACCGCGGACGAATTTCTCATCGCAGTTGTAGCAGAGTCCCAAGCGACGGTGCTCCTCCTGCTCGGCTGTGGTGAGGCACTTGATCGACCGGCCCTCCACGATGGCAGTAGTCGATGTGGATGACGTCGTGGCGGGCGGCGCTGGGAGGGCGAGACGTTGAACGGGCGCCGGCAGAAGGCCACGCGTGGCAGCGCGGGGCGGCGTCGCGGTGTACTGCTCCCGCAACTCCAGCTTGCAGGCCAAACTCATCGCGCCAGCGAGGGTCTGTGGGTTGTGGACCTCGACGTCGAAGCTGAGCGGCGGTAGCAGGCCACCGGTGAAGAGTTGTACCCGCTGAGCCTCGTCGAGGGGCCCCGCCCGGGGAAGGAGCGCCTGGAAACGGTCCTGGTACTCGATGACGGAGCCGGTGCGCCTGCAGTCCGCCAGCTCGAAGAGGGGGTTGGATCGGAGGGGAGGGCCGTAGCGGAGGTTCAGCAGGTCCTTAAAACGCCGCCAGGACGGAATGCCTTCGTCCTGCTGGACCTGGATGTACCACATCTGGGTGCGCTCCTCTAGGTTATAAGAGGCCATCCACACCTTCTCCTCCATGATCCGCTGATGATGAAAATACGACTCGCACCGATTGATGAAGATGAGAGGATCGGACTTGCCGTCGTACCGCGGAAAATCCATCTTCTGGAACCGTGGCGGACGGTCCTGGTGGTGCTCGCCGGTGACGGACTTGCCGGAGGGCGATCGTGAGTCGGCTGCCAGACGTTCGATGGCCCGGGAGTTAGCCTCGACCGAGGTCTGCAGGGTCTTGAGGGTGGCGGCCAGGGTCTCCAAGGTGGCCTTGAGGTCGGCGTTGTCCCCCATGGTGGAGGTGCTGCGAACGGCGACCGATGAGGATGCAGAGGGCGGCGGCGGTGGAGAGGTACCACGCACAGGCGAGGAACGCCGGGATCGTGATACCAGGTTGTCAAGGGCGTCGGCGTTGAGGGTAGTAGGACCCCGACTACGTAGTTCGTAGTCGCGATCCGTGACTAAGGCGAGGTTTTACCCCTCTGCTCTTAGCCGGTTAGGAAGAAGGGAGGAGTAGAGGTGTAGATGATAATATCTTGCTTATCTTTATTCCTTTCCAACGTCCCAGGCTAAATAGGCCTTAGGGGCTAACAAACCAAGAGCTAATTGTTCCTTAATCTAAGGAACTAATTTGATACTCTTTCTATCCTAGCCACTGGATGGATTAACCTACCCTGCATGCCCCAAGGGCGACGGCGCGGCCTCTGCCTGCCCAGAGGGCGACAGCGCGGCCCCAGCAGCGTATGTCTCGGGTGCGCCGTTTCCTTGCATATGGGCGGCCCCACATGACACGCTCAATCCCTCCTAATCGAACCCTTAAGAAAAATAGACAGGATAGAATGGGAATATGAGAAGTTTGGATGCATTAGTGTACATATACCACAAGATAAAGCTACTTAACTAAACAATCCATATTAAAATGTTGAGCTATCACATGAGAACTCCAGAAGAAGGTAGATTGCTACGCCACAGTAGCTAGTCATTAACATAACAGAGCATAGAAACAACTATTGTAGCTCTTAAAGGTCATGCTAGAAGCACACAGCTCCAAACAGCTCCAAGAACATGTCCACAAATACTTCTAGTAGGCAGTGAAAGTAGCTTGCAAAGAGGCTCTGTATTTTTGCACCAGTGTGACTTCTTTCTCTGCACAATTTGAATGGAAACACATAGTAATGTCAACACCTTACATAATTAAGAAAAATTGACTTATGTGCACATAAAGACAAACTCCTGTAAGCTACAGATCCAATATGTAGGCAATGTCTATTATTACGTTCAAGGCTTTGAAGAGTGCATAACTTATGCTGCCTTACTAAACATGCCACACTGATCCGTTGAACTTGGGATTGGTTCCAACTCGCCAAGATACATTTGTTTTATGCAACTATGACCATAAAAAACAAATTGATTTCTGAATTTTACTCTTTTAACAATCTTGTCCTCAACCAAGAGGCACTCCATGAACGCAATCATGGGTATGTACACCTCGATGGCCTCGTTCTGGAAAGGCAGCAGATGTATCCCCCCTTGCACATTTGTGTGTACCGAGGCATATCCACATCAGTAATTTCGTTTTTCATAAGACAATTCCAATCAGCATTAATCGAGTAGAAAAAGAGAGAGTTCAGGACATCAACTAAAACTTCAATAGTTTACATCTTCCCTAACCATTGCTGTTTGGTTTTGCATCTGCATCTTAAACTACATCTGTAACTATGTTCGAGCACTACCACGTATGTACCACATACTTCCTAACATAAAGGCTGCCTAAATGACCAGTGGTTAAAATTCTCACAAGTCAATAAGGGTTATGGCCCCCCAGAACTTGTGTAAACTCCATTAGTTTCCGTCATTTGGATTAGTAACCATCAAATGTTTTTTTTAACGACCATGCCTAAGTACATATTCATTAAGAGGAGGAGAGTTTACTGATTACAGCAGGAAAGCAAGCCACGGCTTGTCAAGCCCACCAAGCTTACAGAAAAAAAGTTGTTATACGTGACACTAATTGGCGACCGTGAACTGCTAGAGGTGACCACGAAACACCCCTGTCAACGTGCAGCAAGGGAAATTTCCTCCAGCGACGCTAGACTTCTGTATCCTGCTGCAATCCACAATGCTCAGCCACCTCAATGATGACCTCAAACTTAGCCACTGGCGCACAAGACTCTCTCTGGAAGACACGATTGTTGCGTTCAAAAGGTTAGCCTTGTTGCCTTATTCTTTGTTGCTTTGCCCTAATTGGGTTTAGGAGCAAGCTTCGTCACTGCAAATGACACCTTCCACAAATCACGCTGCTCCCCAAAGCAGACTCTTAATCATTACCCTTCCCGCAATGCGAAGTCTAGGCAAATTGGCTGAATCCCACCCCAGGATTGTCAGAGTTTTTAACATGGGCTAGCACAGTGAAGTTAAATTAACCAGGGATTATAGCAATTGCAATTTGCGAGGTACTAAGGGAAATTGAGCGCACGGAGAATTGAGGACTCAACCTACCAGGAGTGGCAATAGGAGGCGCCGCGGATGGCGCCACCGCGGCCGCCGGAGGCGGCAGTGGGTGCGAAGGCGGAGCGTACATGTAGGAGTCGGACGCGAGGTATGCAGCGATCACCTTCGCGAGCCCCCCGGCGCCGCCGGCCTTAGCGGGCGTCACCACCTTGGGCCTCCGCTTTGCCGCCGCCGCTGCAGCCAGCTTCTTCCGGACGCCGAGCAGATCCTTCTTTTCCATCGGGTCCTCGGTCCTCCGCCTTGGGGTTTCGTCTCTCAAAGCTTTTGGGGGGTTTGATGCCTCTGCTGATCGCTTCGGTCAGTCGTCGTGTCTCGTGAGAGAGCAGCTTCTCGAAGCGGAGAAGGAAGAGGTGGCGGCGGAGGAGGTCGACGTGGCGCGTTTCAGAGATTTTTCCCTACGTGCCATTATAAAAAATCGTAATTCTCTATATCCCTCTGAAAAAATTTAGCGGTCTTCAGTGCCATTACTTTAACTTTTTTACATTCATGCCACTTCCGTCGTTTTGGGCTCTCTACTTCCGTCAGTGTAGGTTTGGGCTCTACTTTTCAAATATGTTATTAATTTTTTGAGCATCTTAATGATTAAAATGAAAAAATGCTCAAAACTAGAAAGTTGTAGATCTCGTATTAGATCTATAATTTTCATATAAATTTTTTCATTTAATTCCACAAAAAAAATGATTTGATATGACTAATATATCTTAGAAAAATCATATTATTTTTTTTTGTGGAATTAAATGAAAAAAAAAATTATATGAAAATTATAGATCTCGACGAGATCTACAACTTTCTAGTTTTGAGTTTTTTCATTTGAAGTCGTTAAGATGCTCAAAAAAATTAATAACATATTTGAACTTAATGGCATTTTCGTCTTTTCACACCTACAGTTTGACGGCGTTAACGTCCAAACTGATGGAAGTGGCATGGAGGACACGAAAAAGTTGAAGTAGTGGCGCTGAAGACCGCTGAATTTTTTCAGGGGCACAAGGAATTACGATCTTTTATAATGGCACACAGGGAAAAGTCTCTACTTTCTAGCAGCTGGGCGGCGACGCGTGGTGGCCGTTGCGGAAGGCGAAGTGAAAGAGCCAGCGAGGGGCACCCGGCATGCGACTGCGACTCTTGCGTTGAGCAATTGCCTTTATCCAACCGCGCGGCAAGTGTGGTTAGCTCTCAATCAAACAATATCGGAAAAAGAAATTGCCTTTTATCCCTGCACGGCGCTGGCACGGTGGGGCACGGCACGACGGGGCACGGTGGTGCTGCCGTGCCGTGCAGTGCCGTTGTGCCGTCATCATCCCGGTTTAGGCACGGCCCTACGGTGACTCAGTCGTGCCGTGCCGTGTCGATTGGCACGACGGCCCGCCGGGGCTATGCCGGCCCGTCGCCATGGCCGCCGTTGAGCCACACTCGCGTCATCAAGGAATTGATTGCATAAGGATCGATATCAGCTGATTCAGACACGGTACTGGGATCGACTATTTTCGGATGATATCAGCAGATAACGTCAATGAACTACGGTTGGTGTCAGGAAAAATATGTCGGACTCTAAAAAAAAAGATTAGGGTCCAAGTTATCTTAAGTTAGAAATGTTTTCTTTTATTCTAAAGATTGTAATAAGTCGTATTTGAGTAGGATTCATACTTAGGTTCCAAGTATAAATATTGGACCTCGACTATTATAAAAAAAGGATCAAGAATCAATCAATACCAATTATTTTTTCGGCTTCACGTCAACTCTTAGGAGTAGGAGTACTATAGATCTCGACGAGTTCTTCAACAAATAGGGCTGCATCGATCCGGTCGACCTCCGGCTTATCTGTAAGTACTGTCATGGCTTATACCTTTGTTTGTAAGGCTGCATTGGTCCGGTCGACCTCTTACGAGCTCTAGTATAAGTTAGTTATCGATCCTTATTTAGGTCAAGTACGGCTACATCGGTTAAGTTTGACCTCCACTGCTCGAATTAGATTAAGGTCAAGTTATCGGCTCTGTCTAAGGGTGGCATCCTTCGGGTACATTCATTAAATTACCGATCTTGTTGATGTTCTTGTTGTCATTAGTTTCAACAATATCAACCTGCCCGATCGAGATCGATATAGATCGACCTCATATCGTTTTAGTCCATCGTTTATTTTGTCACATTATGATGGTTCTTATTTTAAACGACGGATTGTGTTTTATCGGTTGTTCTATTTCGATCTTGATCGTGCATAGTATACGGCTAAGGCATGTCTGATCTTGAAAAAGTTTACTAGCTAGTTGAATCTGGTCTATCGCTCGTTATTACGGCTGTAACGATCCGGTCGATCCCCACTGATAGCATTTGAAATCGAAGTATGCTAGTTGGTAGATTTGCTTTCGACCAGACGTGACATTGGCTGTTTGCTATGCCCGTATCGGTTAAATAGCCAATTACCCGTACTTTAACGCTTATAGTGTGTCTTCATAATTATGTTAAATGTGAATAGATCCGTTTACTTTAAAGGTTTGATCCATTATCTTTATCATGGCTGCCTTCGATCCGGTCGAACCCCACTGTTAAGGATAACAGGTTAGATTTGATGAGTTTATAGATCTATCCATATTAAACAGTTGATTGTTCACATGTTATAATCATTTTCTACCTGAATCGGCTATTTTAGCCTATTCGCCTATACTTTTACAGATATGGCACGCTTTCATAAACCTGTTGAAGTATGGCCGGATCTATAGATTTTTGGTTCTAGGCTATCATCATCATCATAGCTGCATCGATCTGGTCGAACCTCACTGTTGACTGTAATAGATTAGATCTAGACAGTTTGTAGGTCTGTCTATATCAAATAGTCGATTGTTTGCGTGGCATATCCCTTTTCACCAGATTTATTTGCTCTACACCACGTATTGATCAAATCTAATTTAGCCAGTGATGTATCTTTGACGCACACATGCTAATAGCTTAAGGGAAATGATGATTAAAACTGGGCGTATTGTATTCGTTACTATAAAATCGATCATGACCCGCGAGGGTTACAGTCCTTAACAGCCGATTTCTTCTCATATCGGTTATTTAATCGATTTTCCCATCTGGCTACTTTCGAAGCGGCACACTTAGAACTGTCTAGGCAAAACTAGCATGTTCCACCATAAATTACTGATAAACTTTCTCTCCTTGTCAGTTGCAGGTCAAATTGACTGGCACGCCCTTGGAAATTCGTAGGATCGACTGGTCCTGTGTTGAAGTCAGGCAGATCTCAAGATCGTTCCGGCTTACTGCGTGTCCACCCAGCGCGGTTACCACGTTTTCGCGCCGACACGCGTTCTGGCGCGCCAGGTAGGGGACCCAAACCCACAATCGCCTGATAGCAACTCACAACAACAGGAACATTTTTATGGTGCCTTATGAAGACCTACCTGATGAGGATAAAGATATCATTAGTAAAGCTATAGAAGAATTTCAGAACAAGTGTTTGTTGTCCTACACCAAGACACGTGACAATAAAGTTATTCAGAAATATTCACTACCAAAAGTTTTGATGCATGCGCAGTCAGATACAGACGAAGCTAATGATAGACGTTTCTTCGTAGATGCTGTAAACAAATCTGTTCATAATGCCATATTGAACCATAATACAACTTTCTTGAACACCTTCCACAATACCATGAAAGAGGTGTTTCATGGATGTCCAATTGATCAGGTTGTGCTGACTTATTACAACATTCCACATCCGTCGACTCAGGGGACTAATCAAGCCGGTACTAGCCATCAAGAAGCAGCACTAACTGGTAATGGTGATGTCCAGGCAGCTCAGAGCTCATCTGAACAAGTTTAAGGCAGCACTACTAATCAAATACATAATAATCCTAGATCGTCAGTGCAGTATGTGCAATAGCCGATAGGGCAAGTTCAGAATCAAATGGTTAATTTTGGCACATCAGGCCAAATATCGTCGTCGGCTCAAAAAATAGCGCCATAAGTTCAAAGAATTCGTAGAGATACAGATCCCAACATCTACAACCAGAGACTTCAAGCAACTAATTAACAAAGGACCTAACAGATAGAGATTCCATAAGGATATCATTGTGGAACAGATTACAATACCCTTCATATGATTTCAAATCCAGTGTATCAAGGTACCCAAAATTTTAATCCACAGATGGATCAACAATTACAGAGAAATCTAAATTCAAATGCTGATGAGTTGTTGCTCAGAGTGACTGAGATGATGTAGAATCAGTTCGGTTTAAAAACCAAAAGGGCAGACTTTTTCGTACAAACGTCCATATCCAGAGTGGTATGATTTGGTCACTCTTCCTACAAATTATAGTCTCCCGGAATTTGCTAAGTTCATTGGTCAAGATAGCACAAGTACATTAGAACATGTCAGTCAGTATCTTACACAGTTGGGCGAAGCATCTATTGAAGAGGCTCATCGAGTTCGTTTCTTCTCCTTGTCCCTGTTAGGACCAGCCTTCACTTGGTTTTCATCGTTGCCAGTTAATTTCATTGCCAATTGAACTGACCTAGAGAAGAAGTTTCATACATATTTCTATATTGAGACAGGAGAAAAGAAAATCACAGATTTGACGACCATAAGGCAGAGAACTAATGAATCAGATGTCGAGTTTCTTTAGAGGTTCCGAGAGACCAGAAATTTATGCTTCTCATTGAATCTAACTGATGATCAGCTAGCTGCTTTAGCTGTTCAAGGAATGTTGCCAACATGGAGGGAGAAGCTGCTTGGGGTAAGAGTTTGATAATTTAGGTTAATTGGCTCAACAAGTGGTAGCACTCAATAGCCAATTCCAGAATATGCACAGAGATACCCGATTCCAGAAGAGTACCGCAATTGCTGAAGCCTATAATCCATATTCAGTTGATGACGACGATGAAGACGATGAAGAAGAAGAGATTGCTGTGGCCGAATAGAATTGGGGTAAGAAGACAGTAATAACGCCAAATTCTTGGAGAAAAAGAGTTGAAGAGAGCTATGATTTTGACGTCACAAAATCAGACAAGCTCTTCGATTTTTTGCTTGAGAGAGGACAAATTAAGTTGCCCACCAATCATGTTATGTTACCTCCTGATCAGTTGAAGAATAAGAAGTTCTGTAAATTTCATAATGCTACTTCTCATTCTACTAACGAGTGCAGATTTTTTCGACAACATATATAGAGGGCTATTCAGTAAGGAAAGCTTAAATTTGATACACCTCGAAAGATGAAAGCTGATGATAAT